GGGGGTGAAGGGAGGGCAGGGACAAGGGGAAAAATGAGAAACAAGACCTATTATGTAAAGGTACAGAATCCCAATGATGAATGTAACTGTATTTGTATACCTAGATTGTACCAATAACCTCAATAAAAAGGAAAAAAAATAATAATAACAGAACCAGAAAGATCAGAAAATTACTATAACTGTGCCTATCAAATTGGATACTGAAAAAATCAGAGATATCCAGAAACAAGTTACAGAAGGCTGATGACATTCACTAATAGCCTAAACTGAAAGAGAGTCGGGTCCATTCTGGCTTTTATATATAAGAGTTTATACTACCGATAACCAGAGATGTTTAAAGTATCTGCCTAATGTCTTCAAAGGATAGCAGGCAAGTGAGGCAAAGTATCGCCGCAAAGTGAGGCCATGGAATCAGATGTTCCATATTTTGTAGCTACGCAGACAGAAGATGAGTAAAGTTGGTATGCGAAGCAAAAGCCACCCCTTTCACCATAAAGGCCGAGGATACCCATCACACACCCAGACTCAGAAAAAAATCTCTAAAAGAATCTAAATCTTTCCAGGGCCTAAAACTTTCACCACGGTAGCATGTGCCTATAATCCCAGTACTTTGGGAGGCTGAGATCAGAGAATCAGGAGTCAGAGCCCTGTCTGGGCAATTTAACGTGTTTTAAAATAAAAAACAAAAAAGAGTTTGGATTGTAGCTCAGTGCAGCTGTAGTGGATGTCCTCCCAAAGCTTCAGGTGGTCATCGATGGGGCTTTCTGAGGTGGCAGGGTCTAGAGTGTGTGATGCTGGGATTAAGGGTGATTACTGAGTTATCTCACTGATTGGTTTGGCATAGTTCTGGCTAGGAATAAGGGTGCTCCATCGCAGGTGGTGAGTGCCTATCCTAACGGCAGGTAGCCTGCATACAATATAAAGGGCAGAAAGAATCTGTCCGTTGTCACTTGTTGCTTTGCTATGTTGTCACTTGCTCGCTGCCTTCTGTCTACCATGAACTGTTTCTCCTCTGCAATGCCCTTCTGCCATGGCCCCCTGCCTTGGAGCCAGCAAACTATGAACTGAAACCTCTACAAACCATGAGCTACATAAACTTTTCCTCCTCTAACTTTGGGTGTCAGGTATTTTGTCTCAGCCACAAGAAAAGTAACTAAGACCCCAGGTAAGGGACTGAAAAAAGATCAAAGCATCCAAAAGAAAGAAGAGAATTTCCAAGTACCAGCTAGAAAGTAGGAAAGTTATAGGAAGATGAACTTGGAAGCTGGTACAGAATTAAGTGCCTGTAAAAATATATTTATTTATGAAAGAAATGCTTTAAAGGTTTAATGTCATATGTAGCCAACTTTAAAAGATGTATTTTCAATTGCACAATGTAAAGATACAACCCTCACGGTTTTGGGAAAGCAGCTATGAAGATGAAGACTATAACTAATACCTGTTTGACCTGCTCCAACATCAACCTGAAAAACTAACCACACAAAAGCACTCCACAGGTAAGCGTGACCCTTGGGAGCCTAGGGACTTCTAGCTGTTTCTCTTCACTAAGCTCCTCTGTTATGAGGGGTCCCATTCAGGAAGGATAATCATTTAAGACCAAACCAAACTAAACCAAACCAACAAAAGCCAACTAATTTTGCTTTAATCATAATTATCCTTGCCAAAGCCTTCAGATTTTTAAGACATCATGGCCACAAGACTAGCCAATTTTTATTTAAATTTAAATTTTTCTACTAAAAAACCGTTTCACTACAGGTTTAGAATCCTAAAATGTAAAAGAACCCGTAGACGCTGCACTTGTTACCAAAGAAGTCATAAAGGGACCTCAAATGACCTCCGGCAAACCCCGAGAAAAAAGCTGTTGTAAAAGCTGATCCCATAGGCATGTCGACCTCTGGTATCACGGTTACAAAGGTCGTCGCAACTCTGACAAGCATTAAAACAATCACAGGCAAGTGCACTGCAACCCTGTACAAGTTCACCCTGGCACTTTCGGGGCGTGCTGAATCTCTGGTTCTACCAGACACCTGCTCAATTAAAGTATGCATTTTACCAAGATCACCAGGTGATTCTTTTGCACCTTAAGAAAGCCAGCTATGGGATGAAACTGAAAGTTTTTGGGCTGTCCTAGCCCAGAGGGTCCACGAACTGGACGCCCGGGGAGCTAAAGTGGGTGGGGCAAGGAACCAGGCCGACCGCAGCAAAACTCGGCGAAATGTGTGTTCCGGGAACGTCTGCCACCGCCCCCATCGTCTGCACCAGCCCGGCCCTGGGCCCCCTCACCTGCTCCTCCAGCGGGAGAGCCTTGAGAGGACTCCGCGCCCCGTGTCGAAACACGACCTGTACCATTTTCAGCTCCAGCAGGCTGCGGTCAACAGGACGCTGGCCGTCGGCTGCCCGCAGCTCGGCCGAGGCCATCCGCTCCCGGTGGAAGAAGTACGCCAGCGAGGTGAGGGCGCCCACCGGGGCCCACACGCGCTTGCCGAAGACCCCGGCGATCATGGCGC